CAAAATCTTTGAGCTGGAGGTATTGCTCAGTGATTAGAGCTTGTTCTTGCAGTGAACCCATACTGAATTCCCAGCACCCACATGGTGACTCACAACCATATGTAACTCCAGTACCAGGGAATCCAACACCCTCTTTTGACTTCATGGGCAACAGGCACACACATGAGACATAGGCATATATGCAAGCAAAACATTCATACACATAAAATGAATAAAACCAGTCTTAAGATTGCACTGAAAGATTATTTATATATACAATGAGGAGGGCTTATAATTTATTCTGCAATGTTATTCCTAAATCCTGATATATAGGGGTGTGTGTGTGTGTGTGTGTGTGTGTGTGTGTGTGTGTGTGTGTGTGTGCGCGCGTGCTGGGGCCTTTCACATGCTAAGCTCACATTTTTCTTTTCCTTTTTTGCTACTAAGCCACAATTCTTGTGAATTTATTTAAAGACATTTTGATGAGTATATTAATGGTACAAAATAACAGGCTTCATTATGATATTGTTATGCATGTATTTAATTTACTTTGATCATATTTGCCCGTTACCTTCTACTCATATATTTTATGTGTTTTCTTTTGAAATTGGTGTCAAAATAAACTTTCTTTGATCTATGCTGCAGAAAGTTTGTTAACATAAGAACCCCAGTTTGCCTTTAGCTGAATCTCTGAACACACAAGAGGTACAATACCTTCTTCCTTACTATGTCTTCTTTATCACAAAAAAGACCATTTCTCCAGGCCACATGCAATCAGCTAGGTGGCCACTAAGAGACTTGAAAAGTGACACATCCTTATGATGGCACAACCTCCTTTCTCTGCTACTCAGTCACTAGATGGCATGGAGAATGTGTGGCCTATGACTACTTCCCAGCACACTGAAGTCTCAGATGGGAGATGAACAAATAATACTAAAGACCAGAACAGAGCTTATGATTAAGTATAAAATCAAGGGAAGGTATATGCCTCAATTATGCATTTTTTCTTGAAAGCATAATATATTCCATTTGAATCCAGGACTATGTTTTCCAGGCAGAATTTCTCTGTATAGCCTTGGCTGTCCTAGAACTCACTCTGTAGACTAGGCTGGCTTTGAACTCACAGAGACCTGCCTGCCTCTGCCTCCCGAGTGCTGGGACTAAAGGTGCCACCACTGTCCAGCAAACCCAGGGCTTTTTTTACTCTACTTAATTACTTTATCTGTATAGATGTGTTTGCACATATGCATATACATCATGTATGTGCCTGGTACCTTTGGAGGTCAGAAGAGGCAGACTCCCCAGGAATGGAGTGACAGTTAAGCCACCATGTGGGTGCTAAGAATCTAACCCAGGTCTTCTGGAAGAACAGCCAGTGCTCTTAACTGCTAAGCCATCTCTCCAGCCCCAAGTATTTTAATCACATTTATTTACCTCCCCACTCTCTCTCTCTGTGTATGTATGCGCACACGGGAATGAATTTTTCTCTTTTCACCATGTGGGTTCCCAGGACCAAACTCCGGGTTATCTGACTAGGCAGGAAGCACCTCTACCCGCTGAGCCATCTCACTGGCCTGAATCTATTTATGGTAAAAATTTTAGACAATATACTACACTCTGAGGAAACTATATATGGAACAGAATAGAAATTACAGTCTAAGGCTACATTGGGATGCATTTTTTTTTTACCATTTTTGACCTGTTGATAATAATCAAATACTCAGATATTCTACTACTCTTCCAAAAAAGACATTTAAGGGAATAAGGTTATTTAAGTATTTTATAAAACTTTAGAAGAACCACATATTTAAACCAAAAGGAAGATAATGAAATGTTTCTCACCTTCTGAAAATGTTGCTTCCACAAATCTTCTACAACTATGTAACCTCGTAATCCCCAGTCATATAACTTCTCCCCGCTGACCTTGAAACACAAATAGAAAAGATTGATAAACACTCCATTTGTAAGATAAACAAGAGAATTTCTTTTCTCCTGTTTCCAAAAGCACTGCAATTGACTACTGTCTGTGTGTGCGTGCGTGCGCGCGTGCGTGTGTGTGTGTGTGTGTGTGTGTAACTACTACAGGAAGTCTTGAGACAAATCCATTAAACCTACATACATGCTGGGGATATAGTTCAGTGGTAGAGCACTTGCCTGGGAAACATCCTGGCTTCAATCTCTATCACCACAAAAGAAAAAGAAAAGACAATCCTACCTCAGTATTGGTGGCTCACATCTATAATCTCAGCACCCAGGAGGCTGAGGGAGGTAGATTGTTGTAAATTCAAGGCCAGCCTGAACAACAGACTGAAATCCTGTCTCAAATGCAAAAAATTATAAAAACAGAAACAAGTAAAAACAATAAAAAGAAATGAAAAATCAAAGATAGGAAAAAGGATAAGAAAATAAATATTCTAGTTACATTTAGTTATCTCTTAAAATGGCTTGCTATAAATTATAAGTACATATCTTTTATTACTAGTGCTAATGCTCAAACCTGGGCCATTATATATGTTACTGATACCTACCTACTTCCCAGCTCTCAAAAGAAATATCTTCTAAATGTAGGAGACTACTAATGATATGGGGTATTCCTAAAATCATACAGAGGAGGAAACATCTAACTAACCCATCTAGTACCCAGCCTGGCACATTACAATCAACCAAGTTGCCAAGGTGAAAAAAATCATTCATTCATTTTAAAGACTTAGATATAAAACATGTGAAGATATCTCCAATTTTCCCAGGCACAGGCATGATGAAGTCTTTTAATTACTATAGGAATTTTGTAGGTAGCATGGTCCATAATCATCCTTCCAACATCCCATGAGGCCCTGCCTTAGAGTGGTCATGACCTTAAAATGTGTTTATCTATCTTTGGCTAGCTGGCTTGAATTACTAGAGTGAGTGTGTGTGTGTGTGTGTGTGTGTGTGTGTGTGTGTGTGTGTGTGTGTGTGTGTGTGTGTGTGTGTTTCAGTGTTTTGCCTGTACACATGTAGCATACCACACAGGTGTCTGGTGCCTGTGGAGGTCAGAGGAGGTTAGAAGATGGCATCAGATCATCTGGGACTAGAATTACAAACACTTGTGAACTGCCATATGGGTGCTAGGAATCAAACTTGGGACCTCTGCAAAAACAAGTGCTCTTAACTACTGAGCCAACTGGAATTTTTTCCCCAAGTCATGGGTCTTCAAAACAATGCTTCTAGCAATCTGCATTCATTGGTTCTATTTATAACAAAGAATACTGATTGATCTACTCCGTGATAATACTTCAAAATTGTTTTTATTTGCTGTGTGTGTGCTTGAGTGCACACAGGCACATGTATGTCTTTCATGTGTACACAGCTACACATGGAGACCAAAGGAGGGCATCGGATCCCTTGGCCTGGTTGTGAGCTGCCTGATGTGGGAACTATGATGAGCAGTAACAGCTTCTTCTGGATGAGCAGTAACAGCTCATAACCATCTCTCCAGCCCTGACACTTAGAATTTTCTATTTCATTTTTTGTGTATTTTTATTTTATTTATTTAATTTTTTGGGTGGGGGCATTGAGAAGACAGGGTTTCTCTGTGTAATAACCCTGTTCTAGAACTCACTTTGCAGACCAGGCTGGTCTTGAACTCACGGAGATCTGTTGCCTCAGCCTCCCGAGTGCTGGGATTAAAGGCATGTGCCACCACTTAGAATTCTCTTCTTAATTTTTATAAGTAATCTTTGTATAGTGCTGTTTTACAAAACACTTTCACATAAGTTATCCCTATCCTACAGAACAGTAAGGACAGGAAGACTGTAAGGATAAACTCAAAGGCCAAGTGACTTGTCTAAATGCTTGTAAATAAAAAAAAAAGTGGTCTTTGTAACATGCTGATTTCTGCATGTCATATTCCTCAGTTGTACCTACTGCTTTTAAAATATATGACATGCTAAGAGTCTTAGGATCCTTGTTAGATACGTTGAGCATTTACCACATGATACTGCTGTTCTTAGTGTTTCACATTTCTGAAAGGAAAATAACATTTTCCATCAATATGAGGGTATTTTATTTTTTTGTGTGGTTTGGACATAGAACCTTACATATGCTGGGCAAGTGCTCTACCACTGAGCTACTACTTCCACTGCCTCAATCTGTGGGATTTTTATACTATTTTTAGCAATACCACAGAACAGAATTTAAGGGGCTAAGTGGTTTGTCAAAATTTGAGGTTTCTAAAAGAGAAAACTAAAACTGTAAAAAAGGATCTAAACAACATGATACAAGATCAGAAAATCTTTTTTTAAGTTGGTACTCTTCTGACTTGGTTTTCTTATAGTAAAATATGCATGGTGTGATTTTTAAAAGAAACTAAAATTAAAAAGAAAAAAATATATATATCACAAAATGTACCATCTTAACTGTTTTAGGAGTATACACCAATGGTAATAAGGATATCTTTACTGCCCAACCATCACCACTACCCACTTTCATCACGTCCTACTATCTTGGTGGTGAATACAGAGAATGTTTTGCAATAAATGCTGAAGCACAGAAGGCAAAAAGTGCCTCTCTCTGAAGACAAGCACAACTGCTTCATACTCAGCAGCCAGCCCCTGCCTGCCATTTACATCTTCAACTATAAGACTAGAATTATGTTTAGTTTTCTTCTTGTATCTAGGCAAGGCAGACATTATTCATTCTTCCTAAGCTGGAGCAAAAGCAGGGACAGGAACATTAACTTCCTGCTTCCAGGACTGTTAGAAACAATCTCATAGCCAAAACCATCAATTTCCCCCTGGTGTGGCCACTAGATTCCCACCTACAACTGCAGCCCAGTCTGGGAATTGAGACTTCTGTCATGAGGCATCCAAGGGGCCCAGTGTGGAGTTGGCCTGATTCTGAGGACTACACTGCTGTCTCTTTCTAGGACAATATCTTCATGTGATATGGAAGTTCTGCCCAGTGGGTCCCTATGTCCCTAAGCTGTCGAGGACCTCAAAACCTAAAGCCCATCTTCCTCTTGTCAGTTTTCCCAGGGATTATATGTTTACAGTACCATTGACTCCAAACCAGCATCTAAAGCTTGTCTGTGTAAAACAATGGTTCTCAAATATCCTGGAAGCCCTGCTAAAACAGAGATAGCTAATCTACACCCTTACACTTCCTGATTCAATAAGTCTGGGGTGGGGCCTGAGGATCTGCAACTCTGACAAGTTCCCAAGAAATGCTGATGCTATTGATCTTCAGGCCACGGTTGGAGAACCTGTAGTCTATCTTTACCCAAGTCATCAGTCAACTAATGATCCATCTACTTGACATGATATCATCAAACTGAGGTCTGAAGGGTAAGAAAAGGACAGTTAACTAATTGAAAACCCCAAATAGGAGCTGGGCAGTGGTGGCACATGCCTTTAATCCCAGCACTTGGGAGGCAGAGGCAGGCAGATCTCTGTGAGTTTGAGGACAACATGGTCTACAAAGCTACACAGAGAAACCCTGTCTCGAAAAATAAAAAAAGAAAAACCCAAATAGGACCTTCACACCAGAAGAGACTAACACCTCATGTTGCAATAAGGAAAGTGAATATGGTACCAATACCATGGAAAAAGCATGAAGGCCAGAGTGCAATCTGTGCAGACAATGCCAGTAAGGGCAGGCTGAAAATAGTCTGTAATTTCAGCTTTGCACACTGAGTCTTTAGACTTCTGCATAAGTATATACATGGTATCTTAAATTTAATATTTAAATTACCATGAATTCTCTGAACATTGACATTATTGGAAGGAGAACTGGTACTGAGGTAAATAGTGAAGAGAAACTTTTTTTGGTTTTTTGAGACAGGGTTTCTCTGTGCAGCTTTGGAGCCTACCTTGGAACTCGCTCTATAGACCAGGCTGACCTCAAACTCACAGAGATCCACCTGCCTCTGCCTCCCGAGTGCTGGAATTAAAGGAGTGCGCCACCACAACCACCGCCCGGTGTGAGGAGAAACTTTTAAGCTGGTAATTTTTAGTTTGGTGTAATAAGAACTGCAAAATAAAATAAACCAGTGGAGCTGGAATGAAGAACATCCTTGCTTCCTGGGTCTGACTCACCTGGGCAAAGGCAATGGCTTGTTGTGGGTAATAGACAGAGGCACCTAATCCCATGAAAAAAGGAGGATACACCAGCTTCTTTATTTTTGAACCTGATCAATGAAAAGTGGTACACTATCAGATGATTTGATATCCTTACTCTCACAATTTACTTTATACTTTTGATGCCAAACAAGATATCTTTGACCCTAAATTGAAATATTACTTAATAGTACATACAACAAAATAAATCACTACTTCTTTATAGCTTTGTAATATAATTATACATTTTACCCATCTAAAGTACAAACGATAATGACTTAGTAGATTCACAAAGCTCTGTAACCATCATCACAATAGATTCTGTTATTCTCAAAAGAACCTCCCACCTTTGATGGTAAAACAAATGCTTAACATGCACTAGGCCCTGAAATCCCCAGCAACAAGAAACGAAGAAAGGAAGGTAGGAAGGGAGGGATGGAAGGGAGGGAAAGGAGGGGAGGGAGGGAGGGAAAGAAGGGGAGGGAGGGAGAGGCACCAACCACATTAGGCTGAGAGAAACCTATTTTCAATCTCTATAGATTTGCCTACTCTGGCAATTTCATATACATGGAATCATATAAAGTGTGATCCCTTGTGACTGACTTCCTTCGCTCAACAAATATTTTAATAGAGCCACCATTTATTAATTATTAAGCTGTCAGGTGGTGGTGGCACATGCCTTTAATCCCAGCACTCAGGAGGCAGAGGGAGGTGGATCTCTGTGAGTTCAAGTCCAGCCTGGTCTACAGAGCAAGTTCCTGGACAGCCAGAGCTACACAGAGAAACCCTGTCTCAAAAATAATCAAAAAACAATTATTATGGCAATGTAGCCTAAACTGGTCTACAGGTATGTACTCCTCTACTTTTTTTCCAAGTTTTGTTTATTTATTTGTGTTGCTTTGCTTTTCTGGCTTCATTTTGCTTTTTTGAGATGGTCTCATTATGTAGCCAGACTAGTCTTGAACTTGTGATTTTTCTGCCTCTGTCTCCTATGTGGTAGGATTAGAGGTATGAGATTACAGTGTTGGGACTATCAGCACACCCAACTTGAGAACACTGTTTCAATGAAGAGGAGAAAAGTTTGTTTTTTAAAAACAACAGTATTTTTGCTTCTAGGGTTTGAGTTTTCAAAGCAAACTGACCACCTTCCTATTTAAATGCAAAAGACAATTGTTCCTTTCCTCTCCTTCCTGAGATTTCATTAAAACAGCAATAAGAAAATAAAATACAGAAACCCCATAAGGAAGAGAAAATGTATAGAGGGGCACTGACAGCTCAATCATCCAGGCTGAGGATGTAGGTCAGTGGTAGATCACTTCCTTAGCCTAAGTAAAGCCCTGGGTTTCATTCCCAGCACCACAAAAAATATGTCAATCGCTAGGAATATAGCACAGTTGGTAGAGCACTTGCCTGGCATATATGAGGCCCTAGGTTGTTCCCCAGCACTACACACGCACGCATGCACGCACACATGCACGTGCATACACACACACATTTTTAAAAAGTATAAATGGAAAAGAAAGACCAGTTAGTATTGTCTTGAAGAAGGGACATATGGCAAAGGAGAGAGCATATCCTCCCTAGGTACAGATGGCTATCAATATAAGCAAAAAAAGAGCCAGACAGGAAGACAACTACAAGTCCTGTCCATGGAGTAGGTGACTTCTTCCTTCTGTCCATGTCATCCCAGTGCAAACCTGATCCTGGAAGTTATGACAGGCCAATTTTAAAAGCATGGCAAAGTCTCACTAAAAAAAAAGAAAATCACCAATTTTATGCTGAGAACCAACACTGCATGCACACACACACACACACACACACACACACACACACACCAATGTTAGTGCATAAGAATAAAGACCTCCTACATACAACGTCAGCTCCCATCCAGCTTACCCTAACACAGAACCTGCCTGCCAGTAAGCTATATCTATACACAGAGTTCTTACTATCATTTCAATTGCCTCATTCAGAAACATGATTGGACAACCAGGGATCAGCAGACATTAGAGGAGAACCTGCAACATAAAAGAGAAAGACCAAGACAAGCAAAAGAAAATAAAAATGACCCAACAGGAAACAGAAGTTTAAGAACAAACTTAAACCTGTTAAGTGTCATCAAATCAACAGAAGCAAATATTACACTAAAAGAAAACAAGAGTTCAACATAAAAACGAACATCCAGAGAACAAGACCTCATGGAAATGACCAAAGGAAAATATTCAAAAGATAAAAAAATCAGCAAGAAAATATAAGACACACTATGGCCATTTAAAAAAGAACTCAGTTATTAATCAAAAGCATTCAGGAATGAAAAAGAAAGCAAATCCTCAAAGAAAAAAACAGATATATATCACTCTTGAGCTAAGGAAGGTATACCACCAAAGGCTAAAAGTATCTGTGTGTAGTCCCCATGCCACAGAAATTCAGAATATCCAAGGTCCTCAAATTTTCCAAGAATTAAAAAAAAAAAGAAAAGCAACAAGTATCCAGACTGGCTATCCACCCTGCCACCTGCAATGCCAGATGCTAGTTTGGATGAAAAAGAACTATCCAAACTCTCAGTATGAGGGACAGACATTTAAGGTGTTGGAAAGTTAGCCTCTCACATATAATTTTTTAAAGCAACTTAAGCATGAAGTTCAACAACATGGCTGAATACACCAAGGAGAAGGTGACATAGAAGCCCAGAAAATGGGGCTCAATACTATGAAAGTCCATGACAACAGCTGTGTAAGTCTCGGACCAGGTTACAGGATGATATAGAACTAGGAGGGAAGCATGCTACATACAACAAACAGGAGGAAAGTGTACTGCATACAACAAACAGCAGGATACTAAGTTTGGAGAAACCTAACAAACTGGTAGAGGATGAAACAAGAAAATGTGCAGGACTTTAATCCTCAGGTAAACCACAGAGGGCCAGTGCAGTATTCACCCTCCTGACTCTAAAAAACACTTCATGCACAAAGAGGAAAGCATTCTAAAATTAGAGCAACTGCTATGAAACTATGGTTCTCTTTTATGGTGGTCAGATTGTACAGTTCTTTGTTGGGATATTTCTATTTTGAAATTTTGTTTGTTGTGTTTTGTTTGAGAGAGAATCTCACTCTGTAGGTCAGGCTGGCCAAGAACTATGTAGGCCAGACTGGTCTTAAGGCAATCTTCTTGCCTCAGCCTCCTAAATACTAGAGTTGCAAGTGTGAACTAGCATACTAAGCTTCTAATTGGAATTTTTGTAATATATGCATTTTATGCCATAAACCTTTATTTTACAACTAGTAAAATTCCAAATAGACATAAAAATAATCTCTTCCTAGAGAAGCCTTTATCCCCACTTTTCAATACAGTAGTGGAATAGAGTAATATTTTCTTGTGCTTGGGATAGAGCCTAGGGCCTTAAGCACACTAGGCAAGCATTCTGCCAGAGCTATACACCCCATCCTCTACAGTAATATTTGGGGATACTTACTAGGTCCTTTCATTTTAAGCATTTTTAAAGTTTTTATAGCATCAGTAACTGAAGGTGTGATACCTGAAGAAGTTAATAAACTAGTTAAAGTCCTACTTGCTGTGATTAACATCCTGACCATAACAGTTGAAACATTTACAAAGTTTGTCAAGTGTGAAAGACTTTGTTCACTTTCTGTACCAAAGAACAACAGATATTTGAACAAGTAGATATGCTTATTAAGTATAACTAATTTCTTTTTTTAACCAAGAGTATATAATTTCTATGTATGTTTAAAATCAAATGTAAAGGGGTAAACAAGGAAATGAATTATATGTTAAGAAGTCCACATTCAGGAACCAACTAATCAGAAAACTATTAAATATAGATAAAGAACCTAACATATATCCCATCTCTCCCATCTCTGACTGGGGAATAAACTTACAAAATTGTACCTACCTCGAGCAAAAATGAGTCCAAGAAAACCAGCAAAACCAATAACACCAAGTCTTGGGAAAAATCCAGGAGGCGCATTTTGGAAATAGTCATAGTTGTCTACAATAGAAACAGATTGGGAAATAACTCCATGAATTACTCATTAAAACCAAAAGCAAAAGTCTCATACATAACTAGAACATACAGAACCAAATGTTTCCCAACTATACATTCTTTGCTTTCTGCTAACAGACATTTGTTTTTTGGTTTCTTAAGTCTGGTTTCATTTAGTAAGGAGTGTCTTGAACTCATGACCATCCTGCCTTACCTCCTAAGTGTTGAGACTAGAGGTGTGTATCAGGAAGCCCAGCTCACACTTGGTTAGACAGACAGTCTTGCTATGTGGGCCACACTGAACTTAAACTTGCTTTGTATCCCAAACAGGCCTGGAACTTACTATCCTGCTTCACCTTCTGAGTGACAGGATTACAGATACACACCACCAGGTCCACCTGTGCCAATATGCTTCTTTTCAACACAGTCTTCCAGGAACCAACCACATTCAACTCAGAAAAGCAAGCATCTTTTAGCATCTGAATTCAATATTTGAACTCGAGAACAATATATTTGGATAATGAAGGGAATTTTGCGCTGACTAGGTTCTAGGTTCTTGTCAACTTGCCACAAGCAAAGATCATCTGGCAAGAGGAATCTCAATTGAGAAACTGACTCTATCAGAATGACTTGTCAGCAAGTCTGTTGTCTTAATTAATGGCTGATAATATCGGAAGGCCCATCTCACTGGGGTGGAGCCACCCATGCAAAATTGGTCCTGGGTACTATAAGAAAACGGAACTGAATAAGAAACCTTGGAACACTCAGCCCTAAATGGGAAATCTCTACCAAATTTCTCTCCTCAAGGCTCAGTACATACTTCAGAAGAGGAGGCAGAAAGAGTATAAGAGCCAGAAGGGATGGAGCACCCAAAGGAAATGAGGTCTTCTAAATCAACATGAGCAAAGCTCATATGAACTCAAGAGCCTGACATAGCATGCTCAGAGCCAGGTCCTTTGCTCATATATTATGGCTTCCAATTTAGTGATTTTATAGGATTCCTAAGTGCACAAACAAGTGGGTCTCTGACTCTTGTGCCTTCTACTGGGCTCTTTTCGTTCTGTTGGTTTGTCCTGTCAAATTCCAATGTGTTAGTTTTTGTTTTATATTATTATATTCTATTTTCATATTATCTCTTAGAATCCTGTTTGTTTTCTAATTAGTAAGAGGAAAGGAGTAGATCCAGATGGAAGGGGATGTGGAGAGGAACTGGGAGAAGAGGAAGGGGAAACTGTAATCAGGATATATTATGTGAAAAAAATCTAGTCTCAACAAAAGGCAAAAAATAAAATAAAACTGCATTAGTATGAAAAAGAAAAAGAAAACCAGGCTGGGCAAGCCATGTGGAGCAAGCCAGTAAGAAGCACTCCTCCATGGCCTCTGCTTCAGTTCCTGCCCTGACTTCCTTCCATGACCAGATATAAACTGTAAGCTAGAACAAACCCTTTCCTCCAAGTTACTTTGGTCATAGTGTTTTGTCACAGCAATAAAAAGCAAATTAGAATAAAGTTGATGCTAGAAATAAATAGCCATTCTTGGTGGTGAAATAACTTAAAAATAAATAAAACAATGAGCCTACTCATGAAATAAATAATACAATACATGACCTTATTTGCCATGCCTAAGTATGTCTTGGGGCTTGGATTTGCATGATGTCTCCTTTTCTCTCCTCTCTATGGAGCCAGTCTCATGTCGAACTAGAGCCTGCTGAGGCACTGTCTCCTCTGGAAAGCTCATCCTAAGCTCATCAGCATAGACCCTGCCTCCTTCTCTGAAATACCATCAGATGTTATTCTTTGTACCACCTTTGTTATCTCATTCTAGGGCACCCTGTATTTCATCATTCATGTGTGTATATTCTCCCGACACAGAATATATGTTCCCTCACAGTGGATTGCTTAGACTTGTTTTCAGACTTCACCTGGTGGGGGGGACCACATTCCTTTAATCCCAGCACTCGGGAGGCAGAGGCAGGTGGGGCTCTGTGAGTTCAAGGCCAGTCTGGTTTACAGAGCTGGTTCCAAGACAGCTAGGGCTGTTACAGAGAGAAAACCTGTCTCAAAAACCAAAATAAAATTTAAAAAAAAGAAAGAAAAAGCCAAAAAGCTTCTTTTGACTAGATGCCTCAGCTGTGGCTACTGGAAAATGGACTCACTGTCTTGGCGTAATGGAATGCTTCTTAAGAGTCTTTGTAGTAACTTTGTGCTCGGGAGAAAAGAGAAATGCCTCAAACAATGCATGCTGCCATTACTAAGTGGGAAATGACAGGTTAACAGTGAGGGTAACTCCTCAGTTACACGTGTAATTCCAACATGAGAGAAAACCACTGGAAAAGCAAGAATTCAATATGCTGAGATGCCCTAAAGAAAATGAAATGCTTGCTAATATCTCTACTATTTAACTAAATCCAGGCTGAAATTAGAAAAAAAAACATAGATGGTAAACTCTGTTTATAAGTGCATGTGAAAAGTGACCCATAAGTGAGACACAATCCAGGACAATAAAATTTAAAAATATAAGAACACTCATAGATGGTAAACTCTGTATATAAGTGCATGTGAAAAGTGACCTATAAGTGAGACACAATCCAGGACAATAAAATTTAAAAATATAAGAACACTACTATTTATACAAAAATACTTTCCCAAGTATAGAAGCTCAATTCTGTCCTGCATCCATATTTGTACACCTCTTTTGGTTTTGCTTTTTGATTTCCAGACAGGATCTAGATATGTATTCCAGTTATTCTGGAGCTCACTAGGTAGAAGACTCTCACTTGAAATTGCTGTTGCCTCTCTCTGCCCCTCTCTCGATATATCTCTGTCTCTCTCTGCCTCTATCTCTGCATCTATGCCCCTCTCTGCCTCCCTACCTCTCTCCCTGCCTCTCTCAGGGCCTCTCAGCTCCTCTCTCTGCCTCTCTCTCCCTCTGTCTCCCATGGCCTCTCTCTCAGCCTCTCTCTCTCTCTACATAGAGATGCCCACTCTGCCTCTCTCTCTGCCCCTCTCACTGCTCGTTCTCTGACTCTCTACTTTGTCTCTGGCTCTCTGCCCCTATCTCTGCCTCTTTGCCCCTCTCTCTCTGCCTCTCTCTCAGTCTCTCCCTCTGCTTCTCTCTGAGCCTCTCCCTGCCTCTTTCTATGCCTCTCTGTCTCCCTGTCTGACTCTCACTCTGCCTCTCTCTGCCTCTACACCTTTCTCTGCCTCTCTCTCTCTGCCTCTCTCTCAGTGTCTCTGCCCTTCTTCTATCCCACTCTCTGCCACTCTGCCTCTCTCTCGCTGACTCTTTCTGCCTGTCTACCTCTCTCCCCACCTCTATATTTAACTCTCTACAGCTCTGATCCTCTCACTCTCTCTCTTTGCCTCTCTCTGCTTTTCTGCCCCACTACCCCTCTCTCTACCTCGCTGCGCCTCTCTAGCTCTCTGTCTCTATGCTTCTCTGCTTCTCCTACCTCCATCTCTACCTGTCTCTTTGACTCTCTGTGTCTCTGCCTCTTTCTTCCTCTCTCTCTGCCTATGCTTCACATGACCTCTCTATCTGCTTCTCTCTCTACCTCTCTCTTCCACTCTGGCTCTCTCTCTGCCCCTATCTCTGCCTCTCTGCCCCTATCTCTGCCTCTCTGCCCCTATCTCTTGCCTCTTTGCCCCTCTCTGTCATTCTGACCTCTCTGTCTGCTTCTCTGGCTCTCTCTTCTTCTATCTGCCACTCACTCTGAGTATCACTGCCTCTGCCACTCTGCGCCTCTGCCTCTCTCTCTCTCTCTCTCTCTCTCTCTCTCTCTCTCTCTCCTCTCTCTCCCTGCCACTCATGGCCTCTATCTCTGCCACTCAGGGTCTGTATCTCGGCTCTACACTCCACCTCCCTCTCTTTCTCTGAGCCTCTCTACCTCTCTTCCTACCTGTCTGCCTCTCTCCACCCTCTACCTCTATCTGTGACTCTCTACCTCTCAGTTCCTCTCTACAACATTCTCTCTACCTCTCTGTTCCCTCTAACGCTCTATCAGGCCCTCTCTGAGCCTCTATGGCTCTCTACCTCACTCTCTCAGCTTTTTGCTATAATTCTTTCTCTGCCTCTCTCAATCTGTGAATCTCTCTGCCTCTGTGCCCCCCTCTCTGCTTCTCTGGCTCTGTCTGACTATTACGCTGTCTGTCTCTGTCTCTGTCTCTCTATATCTCCCTCTCTCTAGCTCTTTCTCTCCCTCAAATCTCGACCTCTCTGACTCTGTCTGCCACTCTGCCCTTCTCAGTGTCTCTCTCTGCCCTGCTTTGCCTGGGTGCCCCTCTCACTACCTCTCAGACTCTGCCTCTCTGCCTCTGTCTTTACCTCTTTCTGCCTCCCTCTAAGCATCTCTGCGATACTGACTCTATGCCTCTCTGACACCCTATGCTTCGCTCTGCATCTACCTATGCCTCTCTGAGCCTCTCTCTGACGCGATGCCTATCTCTGTCTCTGCCTCTCTGAGCCTCTGCCTACATGCCTTACTTTCCCTCTCTCTCTGCCTCTCAGAGCCTGTCTTTCTACTGACTCTACAGACCTTTCTCTATGCCTCCCTGTACCTTTGTATACCTCACTCACCCTCTGCCACTATCTGACACCGCCCTCTTTGCCTCTCTGACTCTCTCTACCTGTCTACCCCGTTCTCTGCGTACATGCCCCTCTCTCTGCAACTCTGCCTCTCTCTGTACCTCTCTTCTTCTCTCAGCCTCCATCTCTGCATCTCTGCCCCTATGCTTCCATGCCTCTCTCTGCCACGCTCCCCAGCCCTCTGCCTCTATGACCCTCTCTCTGCCAATCTATCTGCCTTTCTCTGCCTATCTCTGCCTCTGCCACTCTGCCTCTCACGGACTCTCTCTGACTCTCAGGGCCTGTCACTCTGCTCAACTCTCTGCCTGTCTCCTCTGTCTCTCACAGCCAATAGCTGTAAATCCCTCTCTCTGCCTCCCCGTCTGCTTCTCTGCCTATCTTGGCTTCTCCCACTAGATGCCTCCCTCTGCCACTCTTTCTAC